CCAATTACAACGACTTTTTCTAGTTTAACAGCGACACAGCCGTTTCCTTTTAGCGAGGCTTGAGGCAAGCCTTCAGGCAACGAAACGGCAATCGCAACTAAACCGTTGCGGTCGCCAAACCAGTTTTCCCCTCTGGGGGGATCATATACGGCTCCGATACTATTGTGATATTGATTAACCACTGCGCCATGCTCTGGAGTAACAGATCCTGAGCTTTGGCGCAGTGGTTGATGTTCGCCTGTAGGATTTGGAGGGCCATCTATGAACCAGGTGTTATCTCCATTTGCTCTGTGTCCCCGATCGGTGGGGCACCAGTGGCCGTTTTGTTCGCGGTCCACGTCCTTCTGGGCATCTTTTGCTGGGGGCCGAACACGCGTTACCCCCAGTAGATGGTTTGCTCTTTGGCCAGCCGCAGCACACAGAACGCATTGCGGCTTTTCAGAGCAACTCCCTGCTCGGTGGTCAGATTGACCACACCGAAAACAAAGGTGACTGTGGTCCATATCCGCAGTACACCGTGCTGCTACATGACCGCCCTGAAGCAGCGGAAACATCTCAGTTCTCGGGCCCTCAAGAGAACAACTCGGGCGGAAGCCCATCCCACTAATAACCTTCCTTCGGTCAGCTTTTTGGCCGCCGTCACTGGGCACCTGACCCATGCCGCAAAAAGGCCAGTCCTGTTCTGACGGACGCTACCGACCTTCACATTGTCCGGCGAGCAGCTGACCTTAGAGCAAATGGCTTGTTTGACCTCTTCCGGGGTGACTGTTTCATCCAGCCCCGAGATCATCAACTCAGTTGATTTAACAGGTCTGGAAACCCGGACTCTTCCGTCACCATAGACCTCCTTTAATCTAGACGCCAGAATATCCGCCTTCTCCTCACCACCTGTCCCGGGGACCTGAATGATGGTGGCCCCCGTGACAGCTCGTCTGAACCGGACCGCTTCTATACCAAGCTCAGCCAGATTTAGTTTTGTCTTCGCCTCTTTTAGGACTGCTACGTATGTAAGGCCTTTCTCTTCGGCATCCGGCGGAAGCGTTAAAACAACTGCTGCGGAACTGGGCGTACGGAGCTTCAGTTGTGCAGCTGTTGCCATTGCCTGTCTCTTAGGTTGTGCTGGAAGTTGTTGAGCACCTTCATTCTTCTTCCGGCGCAATCCTTTCTTTACCACCTTATTCCACGCTTCATTAGTAGAGGGGAGCTCTGGCAGTGGGCACGGTGGTGACAGAGGGGCAGCATTAGGGACAGTTGTCCCTGTAGGCACATTCTCTTGCCTTCTCTTAGGTTTCTTCTTCTTTTTCTTCTTTTTCACGCCGTCCCTCGGGTTGAGTTGCCACTGTATTCGAAGTGGGCGCTGCTGTCGTCTTTCTAACCTTGGAGGACCCCGACGTTGTTGCCACAGCCTCCGGCTTATACTTGTCAGCGGAGAGAGGTGGTCGTATGGGAGGCTCCGGGTTGAGTCTTGGTTCTATGCTTTCTATTCTAGCATTGATCCTATCCACAAGGCGGCTCATGAGCCTTGCCTCAAGGTCCTCTAAGTCCGGTGTTGGTACCGGATCTGTAGGGCGTTGCTTTATTAGCTCTCGCAACTCTCCCATCTCTTTTTGGAGCGCCTCCAGAAAGTTTCGAAGCCGCTCGTTTTCACTTCGAAGAGCTCGCGTCTCATCCGAAACAGACATTTGAGCGAGTACCTCTGTGTCCTCTTTTAATAGATTTAGCGACAGATTTGAGGGCGTGGACAAATGTACCCTTAAGATTTTTTGACTTAGTCGCGACTTTCTCTACCATTTGCAGATTAGCTTCGATGCGCCTCTGCGCTAGATCTGCCGTCAAAATTTCCCCTTCTGCATTCATTGCCGCTGGTGTTGGTGCGGGTTTACTCGGCTCAGTCAATGAAGCGAGGATCTCCTCCTCAGCCTGGGCTTCCTTTTCCGTTTTCTTGGCCTTTAAATAAGCAGACCTAGCAGGCGCCAAGCCCATGTACCCTCTGGTTTTTGGTGGGCGGCCTCTTCCCTCTTCTTGTTGTAGCAACTTTTAGTGGGGTCCGAACAGACGACTCGCTGATTGTACTGTCGCCATCGTCTTCGCCACTCCTGGTTCGTTTGCGAGAACTCCAGAATCTAGGATATGTAGGGTCTGTACAATCCAGTGATCTGGCGCTGATCATAGATGTCGCGGAGGAATCCGATAACCTTCCAGCATCAGACGTAGGCGCGTCAACTGGATGGTCGCCAAAAATGTCCCTGGAAACGCTCGGCACCGGCGTAATACATAGAGTGCGCTCAGGCACCACGGTCACTTCTTGTAATTCTCTCAGATCCGGGTTTATTGGTTGGTCCGTGGATATCATTCTACTATCGCATGTGTTATTTCTAATGATTTTCTCCTCGCTCGCCTCGGCAAAAGCGCCGGAATCATGAAGATTGTCCCCCCCAGAGTACGGTGGGACTTTTGCACCGGCTCTTGCGAGCAGGTGGCGGATTTGACCCGCCTGGGGTAGTTTTACAAGTATTTGTCTTCATTTTCGCTTTAATTTTTATCCAGGTAAGACAGCTCACCCTGGGACGCCCTCGGGACCGAACTCCCCCGGCCACTCACCCCATCGCCGGGCGCCAGAAACTTGAGGTTAGGGGCTCGCCGTCAATTCGACGAGCCTCGCCAGCCTTAAAGGCCAGCCATACCACGCGCATGAAGCGCCGCTGGGGCTAGATAAGAATGGCCCCCTCTATATCCGATTCGCTTCACCAAGGTGCTGGCTTGCACCCCAGTTACTAAGCCCTCCCCGGCCACGTCAAGGCTCGGACCCCGCAGGATGGACATCTGCGGTGGGGTGGCGTCGCACCAGTCCCTATCTTAACTTTATCATGCCTGTAAACACGTAAACTAACTTCAAGCTTTTTACGTGTTAATTATCGCTCTTGAATTACACAAATATATGCGATATTGTTTCAATCCAAATCGATACCGAAAATATTCTTATTGTGAAAAAATACTTTAATTACAAATTGGTGTTACGTAGGAACCAAAAGGAAGAGACTGTCTGCCCACAATACATGGAATCCTAGTGTGGGGGCTAGTGCACTTGATTTTACCTAAATATCATGTTATTGTGTATAATAAAGTTTTTTTTTCTGTTTTTTAAGTCAGAATTACCTTTAGATGGTATGTTTAAACGGATTACTCTCAATAATACTTCATTTTCCCTTTTTTTATAGGACAGGAGGCAAAAAAGGAGGGCGGGCAGTATTTTTAATACTCTCAAAAAGCCTATTATTTCAGTGTTGGTATAAATATCAGTTATTTGTCTATTAAGAAAAAGGATCAGTCATCGTTTAAAGTTTTGCAAATGATTTCGTGGTAAGATTATGTAGATTATAGAAACTACAAAATTTTTAGCTACATAAACTAAATTACTTAAGAAATATATAAAAATGAATGTTACACCTATAGAAAATGCTTGAATTCGCCTAATATAATATTTGTGACGTCAATATTTGTGTTAAGGAACTAATAAACGATACAGTAATGCGCATATTTACAAAGAACATTAAGATTCTACAATCTCTTTGCGACTTATGATTTCCTCAATAATTATCCCGACGTCACAAAGACATTGTATTCTGATGATGTAAACAGGACTTTTGGTTCTTTCTGCACTTATGAGGTCTTTCATTGTGAAGAACAAGTTATAAAGGGGACAGGAAGCTCAATAAACTTTATATTTTCCCCTCTTAACTTCAAGAAAGCTTTTGGAAGTTATGTTAAATTTACCTAAGTAATGTCATAAAGTTATGACAAAGAGTTATTTTTCTAGTTACTAACTTGTTTGTTAAGGTTTTCTTTTCTTTCATATTTTTTTTGGGGCAAACGGGCAAAAGACCTCACCTGATGTTAAGTGATACCGCCGCCCATGGACACTCTCAATGCCAGAGGGCTCGCAAGTGTGTAACCGGCCGGCCCAGCCTGTCCGTCCACCACCAAATGCTGAATGTTTCGGTGGTGGACGCCCAGAGCCCACAGCGAAAGCGTAAGCTGGGATAACCTCTGTTCAAACTGCACCTTCATACTTTATATGGAGGGATAGGCTCCGGGTGTCTCACCACGAAACGCGAGTACAATAAGATGAACCTATTGCATCACTTCACGCCAGTTTTCTGTGAGACAGACTTCAGTGACTACCCCGGTCGTGCCTGCCCATTTGGCTGAAAGCAACAGCACTGGCACTCCAATAGTCAAGTCAAGTCAAGTCAAAATAACTTTATTCATATAGGTAAACAAGTACACTTATGTACATAAGAAAATAAGTTAATATCGACAGTGCTCTACAATTCCATCGGTAGTATTGTGAGAGATTGAGATTTTTATATGTAGTGTATCATATTGCTAAGACAATTCAACTGATAAATGACTAACCCTCCGGAAGGCCCACAATTCAATTTAATAACCATTTTACTGGGCGGATCTGGGTTTCTTTCTGCTGTGCACTGCGAGTCGCATACGTTAAAACACACAATATTATAACTTACAACCCTAAAATTAGACTTCATGATTATTTTATGATCGCCATTGTTTAGATTTCTCTTAACAATAAGCAAGTATTGATAGTTTTCGTGAAATGGAGTAATCAATTATCGATTGTACTGCAGGAAGTCGAAATGAAAATTCCAGTTTAACTTGACTATTTTGTAAAAGCAATACATAAAGAACCTTTAATACTGATGTTGGTACATTTATTTAACCGCACAATTTATTATATAATAAATATCGCCTTGAACCGGAAAAACATGTCAACTCCCAGTATGGCTTCTAAGTTTTCTCTCTATTTATTTCTTTTGCTTTCTGTATTTTGATTTCATATCTACAATAAGTGTATCTTATTAGATTATCGAAACATTTTTTTTAGGATTGACATATTAGTATTATTAATTTCGAGACCGTTGGAGGCAGCTTTAATGCTGGATGTATTAATGGAAAGACTGTTTATAATATAATTTCACCTGTGTCGCCTGAACAAGCCCCTTCTAGCAGGAGAACCGCTCGGTCCAGCGCCATCATTATCCCTCTTCTCAGAGCTTCGGAACAATTTCCTGAACGCCGCCGCTACCTTTTCCTTCGACCGCGATGTCATTTTCACAAGCACTTACACCAACTTAGTTAATTAACACTTGCCGTGACAATTGCCAAGACGTTTTCACTGCATTTGTTTATGTTTGTTGCATAACGAGTCTCGCACGTGTACGCGCGACTACTCGCAAAGTGAGAGTGCGAACGAAATGGGATCTTGGCTCAAGAACGGTGGCAGGTTTTCGATGTAATATTGCAAGTGCGTAACATCACTCGGGCCTACGCCTGCAGTTTTCGTGTGAATGAACCATCTGTATAATTACAACGTCTAGCCCTGAAACAAAGGAAAAATATTAATGATTATAGATGCAGTTATGAAATAAGTGATTTTGGCCGTGACCAACTAGAGTGATAATGAAAACGTACGTGAATAATGACAATTTGTTGTATATATATTATATTTGTTATGAACAAAACATTTCTATTACATTAAAATTATAACAACCTATATGATCCGGTGAACTTCGTATCACCGACATATATTTGTGTCATAACTTAATATATTTATTTTAAACAGACCAAAGAGTTCTCTTACTACAGCTATGAAACACAAGGCTTAAATACTTATATGACAACAAGTGACAATTTTTTATTTCACAACAACACATGCACAGTTTTTATTGGAAAATCAATTATCGTTTTTAGTATTTTTCATTACTTATTATTTATGTTTAACGTTTAAACTTTCGCTCAACATCCCTGAAATATTTCAAGGCCTAAATTAGCCAAATCGGTCCAACCATTCTCAAGTTTTATCGAGACAAACAAAAGCAATTCATTTATATACTGTCTTTTTGCAAAAACTAACAATATGAAAGCAGTAATAAAATTCATCTTTCACGTTAAATAATTTGATCAAAGACCGTGAATTATAAATAGTTACTTATTCAGTACTTACTATTACATAATGTATATGTTTTTATAAACAAACCTTTATGTTTTTTATTTCGGGTACTATGACACTTAAATAATCAAATTGGCTTTGATTACAACAATATAATGCGTTCTGTCATAAGCTGTGTAAGCATATACGAACGTTTTTCACCAAATCTAAAGAGCTAAACTAAACGAAAATTTATTTTCGCATTTACAAAATAAGTAGGGAATAGGATTAACCTTGTTTTGTCCTTGCCACTGACGAAGGACGCACATAAACTTCCACACACAATTGGCTATTACGCAATACAGCCCTTTGGCTTTTATTTTTATTAACACGAAACTAGTATTTACAAAAATTCACACATTACGTAATTTAAGTATCGCAATGGCTGGACCATTGGCGATACTTAAATTACAATATACAAATAAAGTATTTTTTAAATTTCTATAGATGTTCAACAAAAATGTACGTAAAATAATAAGAACTTAAATTTTAAAATTATACGTATACATTCACAAGTTCAGCAAACGATGAATAATTTATTTCAAAGTTTGCGATGATACTATAACTACATTGAGATAATCATATGGAAATTGGGTTTCGTCCTTAGCTGACAGCATTTGAGTTTTGTTTGGGAGTGCTAATATGGCCTATAACTGTCTTGTTCCACTGGATGCTTTTTCAAGAAATAATTTTCTCGTAGCATGCGCCTAAGTACGTACAAGAGCCTTCTACGCCTATTTCTCTTTACTCGGGTCACTATTAGCAAATATGGAGGTCCGATCGTGTCTGCTGGAGTTTCTATGAAGGGAAAATGTTTCAAGCCGAAATGGCTAACAAACGCTTGGCAAAATAACGTCCCCGGAGATTTCGAAGTTGGCTTATAAATTAAAATAAAGACATCAATTGCCTCGTCAGGGCGGTCAGGCGCTAAGATGCGAAATCATAGCCCTCTCGTTCTGAATATCCCTCTTACACGCATTGAATCTAAGTATTGGCCAACTGATTCACGGAGGCGGCCGCGGGGGATAACATTTTTTGTTAAACATAAGTTTACGCTAACCTTATGCGTTGCATGTGTGAATTTATCTTATGATCTGCACTCAAGATGCTAAAACATAATACAATAACGGTCACAGCAGGAGGTCTTTTAATTATACACTATAGTAATTATGAAGATAATTTGGGTTATCTTAGAGATTAATATGATTTTTCCTTTAAAGAGACAATCACAAAATCCTATTTTTAACATACTAGAGTTCGCGATAAGTCTCGACTATTAATGTAACATTATATTAATATATTTCGGTTTCTTAAACTATTTATTTTTGGCTTAAAGTGTTAAATAAAGTAAAATTAATCGATGGACAGCCTCGATGTTGTGATTCGCACGCCTAACCTACTCACACTGCTCTTTCATGATAAGCAATGTAGATGTGCGGAAATAGAAACGTCGCGGGATTTGAGGTCGCGGCAGCGCTAATGTTTTTGTT